CTGTCCTTGATTCCGGGAGAGCAGAAATGAACAGCAGACTGATGGGGAGCTTGAGGGGGCTGACTGATCCCAGTCTCTGCAGTGCCGGGGCTCAGGGCAGTTCATGCACCAAGGTGTGAGTGTATGTGTTGAGCAGGTAGGCACAGTTCTGAGAGGCAGAGTCAGGCTTTACGTGTCTGTGTGTGGCTCCAGAGGCATTCTCACCTGGCAATTGAGTGCTTTTCCACAGTGATCTCAAGTCCCTTACTCCTTCAACCACCCTGATTCCTGTCGCTTTCCCCGGCTGGTGGGCAGAGGGATCTGGGGGCCCATTTTGTAGCCTGAGTTCCTAGTGAGGAAAGTGATCTGCTCAGATTAACCTAATCTCAGGGGCAAAACTGAGTATAAGCCCAGGTGTTGTAGCATCTAATCAAGTCCTTCTGGTCCACACCATACAGCCCCTTCTTTTTGGCTGCCCAGTTCTCTGCAGGCTGTCTGAAGGAGGTGAGTGTGAGTGAACTTGGGTGAGAGAGAACTCTGGGGTGGTTCACAGAGTTGCTCAAGCTGCGGCCAGGATGCAGCTTCTGGGAGAGGTGCTCTCTGGGCCTGGTGAGCTGGGACTGACCCTCATGTGCTCCTCTCCTCAGGGTAGGCCTGGCTCCAGTCGGGGATCCCATGCAGCCTAGAGTCACAGGGGTGATGGGGCTTCCTAGGCCTTGCATAATCCTCCAGGGTGATGGGGAATGTCTCTGGTCCTGCAGGGAGTGGCATCTTGATCTATTTCCTCCTCTGGCAGATTCCTTGGTAGAGGGCAAGGTAGAGGAGCCTTGTGACTTGGAGGCACTAAAATGGACATGGCTGAGGGTAAGCATAGCCTCATCTTCTCCAAGGACTTCTACCTCCTGGGTGAACACACAGTGGCTCAGGGCTGATGCAGGGGTGCCCTTTCCGGATGCTGGGGTGGTAGCTAAGGAACTGCTGTAGGCTCTCCCTGGCCTGAGGTCACTGGTACTCTCCTTGAGGATTCCCACCAGGAAGTGAGTCCAAGGGCAAGGGGCTTGGTCCCCAAGACCCCTTTCCAGGAGAATTCTATGGGCAATCCTCTTGGAGCCCCAAAGTCTCGGGTGGGGGGAAGGGTAGTATGGGTGGTGTTTTTTTTCCCCTTTTCACTGAAAGGCATTTTTGCACATGACTCAAACAAGTCTAAACTTTCCTAAACTTCAAAGTTTGCCCATGGCACAGCCTCAAAGTGCAGGGGGAAATGTTAAAAAGGAAAAAAAGAAGTTTGTTAGCCAGTTAAACATTGTGTTTTTGCTCCATAAAGGAATTGAATTAGCTTGTTATGTTACTATTAGTGTCCCATTGTGAAACCAGTGTTGGGGAGAGGCTTCTCCTCTGGGTGATGTGGTATCTGGGCCGGTCCCCAGGTTCGGCTCTTCACCCACATGAGGTTGTACAGGGCATTACACAACCTGTGGTAAGAGGAAGGAGTCCCCATGGCAATAGGCCTGGCTCCCAGGGACATTTTCAGGCTCCTGGCAGGAGGCCTGGTCGGGGTTGGGGGTGCTCCAAGTGCCTGCTGTCCTTCACACCCCACATCTCCCCCCTCCCCTCAAGCCTTTGCTGCAGGAGCTGGGAGGTCAGGACAGTGGGAACCCTGCTGGCATGCCTCATGAAGCCACTTGCCCATGACCTAGGCACTGAGCGTCGATCACAGAGTTGTAGGGGCCGTGCAGGTCCTGAGGCCAGTGGTTGGCCTTGAAGAGGCCCTTTCTCTGCTCTCTGTCCCTATTCCACATCTTCTTGAGCAACACCATAGAGCTGTGCTTAAGAGGCTGGCTTTGGGTCCCCAACTGCATAGGTTCCTGACCATGCTCTGCCACTTACTAGTTGTTTGACTTGGACAAATAAAAATAACTTTGGCCTCCCTGTGTCTCAGTTCCCTCACCCACAAAATAAGGAGAATAGTAGACTTATTGTATATTAAGAATATAATATTAGCTACTTTTACTACTGTTTTCACTGCCTTGACTCTCTGGCTTAGGCCCTCCTTACCTGACCCTCATAATGTTCAGGTCCTGGCACATAGTAGACTATAAAGAAACATTTAAGGGTTGACCTGCTCAAATGGGTCCCTTGCCTCCACTCTCTTCCCCTTTCCATCCATTCTACACACACCAGTCAGATTAATTTTTCTAATGCACACGTCACTCTCTTCCTCAAAAAATCATCAGTGAGCCCCCCCTTATTTACTAAATAAAGTCCCAAAGCCTCAGCCTGACAGTTTGAGTATATACCTCTGGCCTGCGCACAGCAATGCAGTGTGATGGTGAGAGCATGGCACTAGTAGAAGGTGGCAGCTACGTACTTTGAATGAGTAATCTTTTTGTTCCTGGTTTTGCTCATTTTTCTTTAACATTGAGGTAATGATTGAACCTACCTACAGGGGTGTTGTGGGGGTGACAAAAGATAACACATATAAGGTTCTTAGCACTGTTCGCTCTACTAAGTGCCCAGTAGATGCTTGTTATATTAATTATTAGTAGCTCCCCAAGTTTCCTAACATAAATCTAGTCTTCTCATTGTCTCCTGAGTGAGTACCCAGGCCATGCTTCCTCTGGGTCTTTGCCATCTCTCACCCATCAGAACCCTTCACCTACACCCCACTGAATTCCTCCCATCTTTAAAGACCTTCTTCAAAACCCACCTCCCTCAATACTGCATCTGGGTACCCCAGCCCATGGGACGTGCTCCTGCCCCCTGTGAGTACCTTTAGTGTTTCTGACTCGTCTCATATAGCACACTCACACCCCTCAGCACACTGACCATCTTCTGGTTTTGCAAAGGCACAAAAGCTCCTTCCTGTCCCACAGCTATTGTAGTCTTCTGCCAGGAATGCTCTTCCCACTCCACGTAGTCCAGCCAACTCCTACTCATTTCTTGAATCCCAACTTAAGTGTTTTCTAGGGAAAGCCTTCCCTCACTACAGTTTGTTTACTCTATCAACCTGTATATCAACATATAGAAATGTTTATTGAATGAATATCTCTTTAATATTGAACACAAATTTTAATTAATTCATTGTTTGTGTAATTAGTTGTTTGTCCAGCCTTACCAAGACTGTAACCTTCATGTAAGTAGGCCCATGTCCATCTTGCTCACAGCCAATCTCCAGCACATAGCACTGTGCCTGAAACACAGTAAGCCTTACTACATATTTGCTAAATGAATGAACAGAGAGGTTGGCCAGCCCAAGAAGCGGGGGAGGCCATTTTGGACAGAAAGAGTATGTGCAAAGATGTGGAGAGGAGACAGGATAGTGTGTGTGGCTTGTAGGTAAATGTGGCTGAGGCATAGGAATGGGGGCTAGAAGGCTATGAGCTGGAGCCCAATGGAACAGGGCTGTGGACTCAGTAAGGAGCTTAGGTTTAACCCATGGGTAATAGTGATCAAAGTGATCTGGTTTAAGTTTTCGAAATCTCACTCTGATGACCTTGAGGAGGTCAGAATCTATGGGACAGGAGGAGGAAGTGAACTGAGGCAGGGGTTCGATGTTTGGAGAGGAGTGGATGTAAATGCCATTCTGGAAGCTGAATGAGCAGGAGGTTGGAGCAGGAGTAAGACCTGGGCTCTGGCTCTGGCTCTACCTAGGACACCTCACTGCCTACCTCACAGAGAGTGATACCACATGAATGGAGGTGAGTGTTCACTACATCTCAGCTGGGATGTGGGAGAGGAAGTATAGCTCTTGCACTTGGTCTTCCCAGAGCTGCCCCCTGGTGGGACAGGCTTGAGGCCCAAGAATACCAGAGATCAACCCTCTGCATGCACATTGCCTCCATCATCTCTCTGTGTCCACTCCCCAGTTTGGCCTCAAGGTCTGATCAGGTCCCCAAGTACCCTGGAGCCCCAGAGTCCCTGGCCTAGACCCAGAGTCCTAGCCTGCTCCAGGCTCTCCTAAGGAGGACACTGTCCAGAGAAGCCTTGGGACCCTCTCCTGAGCAGGCAGAGCACTGGCTGAGATGATCTTTGACTGGGATTCCAGTTGGGATGGCTGTAAGGGGACACCTCAGGCAGAGAGAGGCAGGCAAACCGCAGGCTCAGGCTTTCTGGGAGCCAGAAGAGGGAGAGCATTAGCGATGTAACCCTTTCAGCACCACACCCAAGCAGAAGGCAGGACGCTGTCCTTTTTGGCAGCCCTGGTGCAGTGGCTTGTGAGAAGTGTTGCTGGGAGAGTGGGGGGAGGCCGTGTCAGTGTCTGAATTCACCTCCACAGGCCTGAAGAGAGGAGCCAGCTGGTGTTGGCAGCCGGGGCTGTGGAGTGTGTGTGGGAGGTGGGCTACAAGCCACCTGGGGCACCCAGGCTTCCCTCAGGCTGCAGCCTGCCCTGGCTGGGAGGGGCTCCTGGGCCACAGACCCCGGTAGCCAAGCACAAATGGCAGCTGCATAGAAAGTATTCCCCCAGATGGTGGCATCCCAAAGGACTGAGGTCAGACTGTCAAGGTTGAGGAGGCACAGGCAAACTGCCGGTAAAATTGGTGGTGGGGGTTGGGGGGGGGGGAGACACCAGACAGCAGAGGCAGGCTGCAAGGAGCAAGAGCGCTTCCTAACCCCGCTGGGCTGTCCAGTGGGTTTCATTTTGGTCCCTTTTTGGGCCCTCCTCTAGCTGTCTCCCCACCCCCATGCTGTCCTTAGCCTGGCCCTCACTGCGGGATCTCTCCCCCCCCCCCTCCCCGCCCTCCCCCCCCTCCCCCCCCCTCCCCCATCATGGCTCAGGCCCCCAGCCCAGCTCGAGACCCCTCTCTGGCGAGGAAGGAGGTCGGTAGCACTCTGCTGGGGCGCCTATCCCGCCTCGCTGGCTCCCTCGCTCGGTGGGTCCAGGGAGGGAGTTGGAGCGAGCTGCCCGAAGCCCACCCCCCTTTCGGCAGCTTGAGCGGGTGGGGAGGGGGTGGGGGAGATGAGGGCTGCGGGCGCCCAGTGGGAGGGGAAGAGTTAAGGCTCTCAGCTCCCCTCCCCCGGAGGGTGTGACCGCCTATAAGACAGGCGCAGCGCTCAAGCACTGGGGCTGCAGGCGGCGGGGGGCGCAGCTTGGCGCCGGAGAGCAAAGGCCGTTCCTGCGCCTTCTGCACCTCGCGTCTGTCCCACCGCCCCAGAGCCGGGGCAGAATGTCGGAGTCCAGAAAGAGAGGCCAAGGCCGCGGCAAGAAGCACCGAGAGGGGAGGAAGCGGGAGCGGGAGCGGGAGCCAGAGCCGGAGCGGGAGCCCGACCCGGGGGAGAAAGGTAGGGCACCTCAGAAACCTCGTTTTACTAGGAGAAACCTGCTGCCTGCTCACCTGCCCCCCCTCCGTCTCGCGCTGCACGGGTGAGTCTGGGGCTGTGCAGAGGCAGAGGTGACAGGCGCCGAGGGGCGTGCGTGCCAGCGTGCGAGTCAGTCGCTGTGGTCGGGTGGGCAAGGGACCGCGCACGGAGCCTGGCAGTGGCTGTGCGCGCCCGTCCCCGGGCACTGCGTCCCAGCGGAGGGGGCGGGTACCGGCCTACAGGTGAGGAGCGGGGAGCGGGCTGCAGAACGGAGCCAGAGCACAGTCGGAAAGACAGCGTTCAAGCAGACGCGGGTCCTGACCTGGCGCCAGAGCGCTGGGGGAGCTGTCACTGCCTTCCCTTCCTGGAGCGTGCTCTGGGCTCACTCCCACCCATGTGCCACACCTCCGTGAGTTCTGCTCATTCATTGGAGCAGGGACAGCAGCGCCTGCCACCTCGAGGGGATAGGGCGCCGCTGTTTCTGTGACAGATCTTTCCCTCGGAATATTGCTGCCAAGCAGTTGTCCACCTTTAGTCTTCAGGAGTGACTCCCTTGCACCCTTGGGTTCTGTCCCCAAGGAGGAAGGGGAGAAGGTGCTCTGGGTGATCGGAGCCTGTGCTGAGACCCACTTTGGTGCCCTCCGTGGGAAGCTGTAGGGTGAAAGAGAGGCCCCCACTCAGTACACTGGCTTGGGGCTTCTCAAGGATGGGCCTAAGGCATGCAGGTCCGCCCCAGAGGCTTGTACAGTTGCCTTCTCGCTTCTTGTCTCTTTGGTATTTTGTTAATGTCTATTTTGTACCTGTCAGCAGTCTAAGCATGTTCAAATGCTTCATCTCCGTTTAATCCTCATAACAATCCTGGGGGCAGGCACTCCTAGCCCCATTTTACAGAGGGAGCAACTGAGGCTGACTGAGGTTAAAGTCACAAAGTAAGTTCCAGAGATAGGTCTCGGGGACTTCAAATCTCTGCACAATGATGCCCATGTTGCTGGTTCTCTATCCCCCACCAGAGTTCCTGCCAGAACTGCAATATAAAAATGTCTTCAAAAGAGCACTGGACTGGTAGTTGGGAGGCTTTAGCTGTGGTTGAGGATTTGGCCAAATGACTTAACTTTTCTGAATTTCTGTATAATGAGGGGCAGGTAGCAAGGTAGCCTCTGAGGTCTCTTGATTGGGAAGAGCCTAAGAGTCGACAATTCCTTCAGCCCAGCAGAGGAAAGGACCTGGGGCATTTAAAGGCCATTGCTGGGTTCTCTTCCTTATAAAGCAAGCACTCCCTGAGTAATGCGTGGGCCAGCTGATGCTGGGCTAATGTGGTGTGCGGTGAGCTCCCAATCTGAGACCTGAAGGAGTTCCTGGTGCCTATTTTCAAAATTCATGTGTTTGGCTCAGTGAGCCACCCCCCCCCATACATCCTATTATGGGCACCTTGGAGGGCTGGCTATGTAAGGGCACCCTCCCAATGTCAAGGTTGCAGGAGCTGAACTAGTAACAAGCCACCTGGGCTTCACCAGGTGGGAGTAAGAGTGCCAAGGAAATTAGCAGCTTGCTGCTAAGGTTAGAGTATGCATTGGGGCAAAGATGGGAGAGGGCTGCAGGTAGGAGATCATAGCTCTCTCAATAATCTCTTCCAGCACCTTATACCCAGGTGAGAAAGTCCTTCTTCATGTCTAATTGTAATCTCTCCTGCTGTCTTTTCTTCTCTGCCTCCTCTTGTTCCCTGCCTCCAAGTGGACAGAATGCCTTCTTTCAAGGAGCTGGCTGGTGAGCAATACCAAGCAAACCCAAGGCCTGGGCTAGCGAGATTTTGGACACTCTGGAATAAGGAGGGAATAGGGAAGAGTCAGGCTCTGAACAAGACCTCAAGAAAAAGTACCATGTCCATGAGAAGCAGCAGTTAGTGTGTTTTTTAATACTCACCCAAGGATATTTTTTCCATTGATTTTTAGAGAGAGATTGGAGGGAGGGAGAAGGGGGGAGAGAGAGAAAAACAGCAACAACACATTAATGTGAGAGAGACCCATTGAATGGTTGCCCTCCTCATGTGGCCCCGACTGGAGCCTGGGATCAAACCTGCAACTGCAGTACATGTGGATTCTAACCACTGAGCAAAACAGCCAGGGTTGAAGCAACAGTCTTCAACCCCTGATATGTGCCTTGGCGGGTAGGATGGGTGCTTAAGTGAACACTGACCTACAGAGCTGGAAGCTTCCCTCACAACTCGCCTTCAGCCCACTCAAGGCTGCAGGGTCTTCTTATTGCAGCTCAGAGTGCCCCGGCCAGGGAACACATGGCCACTGGGCAGTTGGAGAGGGGTCTTAGCCAGGGTGGGGCCACATTTGCTAGAAAGATTAGGAGGTATAGACATGGAGAATGTGAGCAAGTTACCCGTTAAAATCTTCAGCTTAGATAGGGGAGGAAATCTGAAAAGTGGGAGGGAAAAGGAAGGTGAGAGAAGGGAACGTTAATGAATTGGCTCCCCCATCCATGACCCACACCCAGCAGTCCCCCATCTCCTCCCTGCCACATGCACTCAGGCCAGCGTGGGGAAATGGGCTTTTCCCTTGGCCTCAGCACAGGAGTGCTGGGTGGGGCTGAACTGCAGGTGTGAGCTCTGCTCTATGACTCACAGAGTTCGTGGGGCTGACGCCTGGTATCCCTACCTGGGGCTGCCCCCCCACCCCACCCCCACACACACACACACACACTCACACACTTCCCTTATCCCAGGGCGGCCATGTTGGGAGGTGGGTCATCAACCCACTCATGTACCTGGGGTCCATCCCACTCTGTCTCTATGTGACCTTGGCACTGCCCTCCCTCTTTGCGTCTCTGGAAATGCTCTCTGCTCTCAACTCTCACCTTCTCCATGGCAAGGCAGAGCCCCAGCCCTCAGGCCCTATGTCTCTGAGAATTCTGAGAGGAGGAGAGCTGGAGAGAGGAGATTGGGGAGCAGGTGGGGGAGCGGCTGGTCCCAAAGAAAGTGACGAGCTCTGAAGGTGCCATGTTATTTTGAAGCGTAGCTTGAGAATTGGATTTGAAGTTACTGATCTTTTCTATAGGCCCGCTGAAAGACAGTCAGGCTTTGACGGGAAGGTCCCCTCTGTTGAAGCTCCCTTGTGAATTGGGAAGCTGTGTCTGCCACAGGAGGGCAGGGGGCAGGTTTGGGTCTTCTCCGGGGTGTCCTGGAGTGTGAAGGTAGATTGCCATCGCTAGCTGAAAACTCTGGATACGTGTCATTTGAATGGGCGCAAAGAATCCTTGCAAGGACTCTCTCCCATCTTTCCCATCTCCTGCCTCTAGTGAAAATAGTGCCCAGACTTCCAGGACAAACTCCGGTCTTTAGGCTGTCAGAGGTGGCGATATGCCCATTTGCATGTGGCTGAGCCACATCTGGCGGTTGCTTTGGCAGCCTCCACCTCTGGCCTTGGCCCCTGGCTGACCCTGCTGATCAAGGCACCTGGAGTAATCCTCCTGCCACTCCAGGGCTCAGTCTGTGCCTCACACTCTGCTCCGGCTCCCTGGCACCTCAGGATTCATTAGGAACAATAACAACAAGCAAAGAGTGACTTTGTACCTCCCAGCAGTCTTTCATCCTGAGAGCTCAAAGCACTTTACAGACCAGGACTCATCAGTCCTCAGCCCCGGTCCCATAGCATTTCCAGAGACCCAAAGAGGGAGGGCAGTGCAGGGGACAAGGGGACAGAGAACTCTAGTTTTCCAGATTGCACAGCAGTGGGGCTGGAGTGGGGCAGTGAGTCACCTGGGGTGGGGGAATCAGGTGGCCAGTGGGTCTGGGATAGAAGTAAAATTGGACTGAAGGCTTCAGGCTTCAAACAGAGGAAATATTCTCCCTTACAAGAATATAAACCAAAAAGAAGACGAAGAAGAAGACGAAGACGAAGACGAAGACGAAGAAGAAGAAGAAGAAGAAGAAGAAGAAGAAGAAGAAGAAGGGGGGGAGGAGGAGGAGGAGGAGGAGGAGGAGGAGGAGGAGGAGGAGGAGGAGGAGGACGAGGTGGAGGAGGAGGAGGAGGAGGAGGAGGAGGAGGAGGAGGAGGAGAAGGAGGAGGAAGAATATAAGCCACCTCCCACCAGGCCCTCTGGCCTCTGTGGGCTCTGTGAGCTGCTAAGGGAAGAAGTGGCAGCTTCATGGGAAACAGAAACCCTTTGATTCAGATACTGTCAGGAATCCCAAGTGATCCCTGTTACCGCCATCTGCCCTTGATGCCGAAAGGTTCGGGGCTAAGTCAGAACAGCCCTGACCTTAGGATAGTGCCAGAGTGAGGAGTGTATGGAGGAAAAGGTGTTGGCCCAGCATGGGGGAGCCCTAGTCCCAGCCTCAGTGGCTTCCTAGAGTGGCTGCCCATGCCTGGTCACCCCCACTCACCCTTCTAGGCCTCCCCTGCTCTCTATCCCACAAGACTGGCCTGCAGGACAGTTGGCATACGGGAGAGAGGAGTTGGGTTTTTCTAAACATTGGCAAAGCATTGCCAAAATTTGAGACCTGAGGCCCATCAGAATCATGATCCCATTGTGTTTCCCATTTCTGAGCCTGTCATCACTATACATAACTTAGCACGAGTGGCAGCAAATCCTCCTTGTCTTTCTCCAGCCCAGCCTTGGTCTAAACATCCATTTAGCAAGACTTCCAGATCCTGGCCACATGGTAACTCTACAGACTGCATGTGCTTTTGCTCACTTTGGTGTACTCCATTCTGCAAGCATTCATTGAGCTCCTACTATGTAAAGAAATCACAGCTGCTGCCCTCAGGATCCGAGACTGACCCTTACACAAATACCTGTGATTAGAACCAAGTGTAAGGCCAGAGCTGTGTGCAATGTATGATGAGGAAAGGAATGAATTATTCTGGGAAGGTGTAGGGAGAGCTTCACAGAGGAGGTAACATTTGTTCATGTTAAAGCATAAACTGGGCACTTGCCAGAAATGCAGTCTTTTGCATTTGAATCAGAAACTGTGG